AGGAGAGGCGCGACCGTGCAGAGGCCACGTCTGCAGGGGACAGGACGACTTCCCAGAGACCTCCTCAGGAGAGGTGTGAGATCGCCACAGCATGCAAAACTCAGGAAGAGAGAGAGAGAGAGAGTGAGAGAGAGAGAGAGAAAAAAAAAAACAAAAAAAAAAAAAACAAAAAAAATGGGCAAGGGTCATGTTGCTCAAACAAGTAGCGCGAATCCGACGCATTAAAGATGGAGGCGGGGAGGGGAGGCCAGATGGATAAGCACGTGCAGACAAGGGACGCAAGACTCCAGTCGCCACGCGGCTGGCCACGCGCTTCTGGAGCGGAAGGCGAACACGGAGCCACCGAGGCCACAGGGCCCTGCGCGTTGCTGCCTCTGCGGGCACCTTTCCGCGCACCCTGGCTGCACAACGGGGCAGGGTCTGACCGCACCAGTCGGCCGCCTTTTGTCAGAGGATGGTCCCATTGCGGCCTCTGCGCGTTGGCGACTGCACGTCTCGGCGTTAGACTCTGAAAAACATCCGCTGGCGATTGCCCTGTGTCGCCTGGCCCCCCTCCCCTCTCTTGTTCTCAAACGTTTCCCTTCGCCTCTCCCCCTGTTGCAGCAGCCACCGCATGTTGGAGGATCTACCACATTGGCCTCCGCATGCGAGGACGCACGCGTGCCGGCTTGTCCCGGTAGCCAGAGGTGCGTGGCACCCCTTCCGCGCTTCCTTTAGCGCAATGACAGCGTACAGCTGTTGTACCGCCAGACTGCGTCCAAAAAGTCCCAGCCTCTCCTTTCCCCCCCCCCACTCCCTCCTTCACTCCCCTCCTCACCCTCCTCCTCCTCCTCCTCCTCCACCTCCTCCTCCTCCTCCTCCTCCTCCTCCTCCTCCTCCTCCTCCTCCTCCTCCTCCTCCTCCTCTTCCTCCTCCTCCTCCTCCCCCTTTCGCCCGTCTTTCCCCCCCCCCCTCGGCCGGGGACGCACCTGCATCGCGTTGTTGGGTGCGCGTTCTCCTTTACCCTGGCTGCTGTTGTACCTAGGCTCCGCTTACGTGGTTCGTGTCAGTGCTCCTGCTGCCCACCAGGGGGGCAGGATTCGTCCGCCTGCGGCGAGGTGCATGAGGGGAAAAACAATAGTTCTTCGTGACAAGTCGTCTGCCCAGTCCAAAACATACATGAGCTGCCTTCCCTACTGTACCTCTCGACGCCGTCATCCCATTTTGTGGCTTGTACTGTTTAAAGTGGACAGCAGGAACGATTTTTGTCCCTACCTCGTGACGCTCTGCACTGCTTACCTGCTTGCCCCCCCATGTCCCTCGTCTTCTCCGCCGTTTCTCCTCTTGTTCTCTCTTGCATGCCTCGTGTAGCAGCCGTTCACCTTCGTGCTGCTGTGCTTCCGATCCGCCCTCGCCCGCCCGATCATGGCGCGAGCATTCCATGTCCTGGCCCTGCTGCTGTGTGTGGCGGTGCACGCTGGTGCCAAGGGCGCTGCGCCGTCCGCCGCGGCGAGGGTCCTCGTGGCCACCTCCGTTTGCACAGGCCGCCTCCAGGAGCTGTGGCGTCAAGCCTCTGCCGGCGCCCCTTCGGCCAGCGCGGCGGCCAATCACTTCGCGGGCCGGGCGAAAGGGGGGGACAGCAAAGGGGGGGTTTGAGAAGCAGCTCACGTAGCTGATTCTCCCAGCGCCTCCCGGCGCCAGAGGCGCCCATGTATCGAGGAATGGGCCCCACGGCGGGGCCGAAACCACCTGCATGCAGCAAATTTCGTACCCCTCCCTTTCCCTAGTCCCCCCTTTCGCCTGGCCCGAACTTCTACGAGAACTTGCTGCGTGCCGAGTGGCAGCTGGGGCTGCAGGCGCAAGCGGATTTCGAGGAGAGAGCTTCGCGTGCCGTCCGGCGAGGAGGTCGCGCCCGTCTGGCGGCGTCCCTCCGCGCGGGCCTGGGCGGCCCTCCTGCCGCCGCTGGGCCTCTCCCGGCGGCCCCGTCCCGCGTGCACCCGGCCGCTTCCCCCCCGCCTGCCGCCGGTGCCACTGCTGGGCCTCCCAAAGCGGCTCCGCCCCACGCGCCCCTGGCTGCAGACCCCTTGCCTCCCGCCAGTGGCTCTGAGCCGTGGGCCCGCGCCCTGCCGCGCCAGGGGTCGTCTTCAAGTGCTTACAGCTCCTCCTCGCCCGGCCGCGGCGGCTTCCCGGGGTCCCCAGCGACGCCTCCAGCGGCGCCAGGCCCGCCCGTTCCTGCGGGCGCGGCCACTTTCACGCCCAACTTCTCGTTCAGGAGGGAAAGAAACACACAGACACAATTAATCGTCGAACCCCAGGAAAATATGGGAAAATATGGGAAGTGGGGGGGGGAGACAGGAACCCAGAAAATAGGGGCAAATATGGGGATTCCTGTTATTCGTGTGTACTTATTTGTGTGTCCCAGGGCCCCTTCAGCCTGCGGGCGCGGCCGCTTTCACGCCCAACTTCTCGTGCGCGCGTCCCCCCGCCGTGGGCCCTCGTGCCGGGCCGGCGGCGGCTCCTGCGTGGCCCCGGTCGGCCTCCCAAGCTTCTTTGGGTCTTCGCCCTCTGGCCTTCCTGGCTGCGGCGGGTCCCCTGCCCCTGGCCGTCCTGAGCACTCGGCCGTCCTGAGCACTCGGCCACGCGCAGAGGGGGGTAAGGGGAGGGGGGAAGGCTTCTTAGAAGCACCCCTGCTTCTTAGAAGGCGCGGGCCTTCTCTACACATGTAAGGCCAGCGCCTTCTAAGAAGCAGCCCCCTTCTAAGAGGCCTTCCCCCCTCCCCCTACCCCCCCTCTGCGCGCCGCCAGAACTCGTGGCTGGCCCATCCCGTCCTGGGGCAAGAATTTGGTCTACTTGTGAAGACGCTCGCAGCTGCTGGACCTCTGCCTTCCTCGGGTGTGGCGCACATCCTACAAGGTCTGCGGCGCGCTGCGCTGGGTCCGCCCTCCCCGGGTGACCTCGCGGCAGCCACCATGGTTGGCAGCTGGGGTCGCCCCATTCTCTGGCTGATGCGGTGGGGTCCTTCTTGCTCCTGGTGGGCACGCTCCCCCCTGTGCTGGAGGAGACTCTCACGGCGGCCTTCGGGGGTCTCGCGGTCGCTCCCTTTGCTGCGCTCCTGCAGCAACCACTCGGCGCGGCGCCCACCACCACCATTGCCTCAGTGGGGGGGCCGTCAAGGGCGGCAGCGCCACCACCTGCGCCAGCGACGCCGGCCATTCCCCCGTGGCGCGGTTTGCCTGTCGCCCCACCGCCCATGGGCAGCCCTTCCGCGTCATCTGCCCGCCTGCCGGCAGCGCCCAAGCTGCCTGCGCCCCAGCCGCCTGCGTCATTCGGCCTGGGGCTGCCGCGCGGCTCGTCCTCGTCGTCCTGCGGCCCGCCGGCGGTACCCTTGCTGCCTCCGCCCCAGCAGCCGTCCGCGCCTGCCTGCCCCTGCAAGCCGGTCCGTCTACCCTCGTCGTCTGCTGCACCGGTGCTGCCCCCTCCACAGCGGCCTCCAGCGCTTTCTCGCTCTTCGCGGCGCTCGAGGCGCAACCCCGCTGCTGATCCACTCGGGGTCCTTCACGCGAAGAAGAGGACGCCTTGCACTGTGAAAGGGCTATAGGTTGGACCTGTGCAGCTTTGGGTGGCGCTCGATTGGCGGAGCCGTAGGTCAGAGAAAGGTGCGCTTGGCTGCTCACAGCCGCATTGGCAGATTCTCCTTGCAACGATCCAGCAGGTCCAGGAGGTGCGGTAGGACTATGTCTGCGTGGGTTCGCGACGGCAGCAGCGGTAGGCTGAGGACGGTATGCGCTTTGCGTGAAGAAGATGTGGTGGCGGCGACAATGAGAAAGGATGGCAGAGGGATTCGATTCCCACCTCGGCGAAAACATTATCGTCTGTTCACGATGAAGCTTTTACCTGGACCCCTGTTGGCCACATGATCGTGCGCATTTTCAACCGCGTGGCAAGTGTCCGCACAAGCCGTTCGCAGCAACGTCGGGAAAAGTTACGGGCGAACTTCACCACATTGAAACCTCCTGAGAAGACGTGGGTCGCGGTATGCGGGTCCACAGGCGACGGGTGAGGAGAAGCAGGATTTGCCCCAGCTCCTGACAGTCACATCGGCCCGTGTGCTCAGATCCGAAGACTTGGCATCCAGTGGCTTCTGTACCAGCGAGAACGAAAGGCTGTTTCCCAGAACATCCTGCTACGTCTCGGCCTAGGCTCACCACGGTGGCACGATTTAACGGTGGCGAGCTACGCGGAAGGGGTATTGCGCCTTACGACCATGAGTTGTTGTCGACATCTTGATAGGTGGGCAGTCGACAGCGACCATGTCCGTTGCGATCCGCATGAACATTTACAAACAGTGTCTCCTTATACTGGTCCGCTTTCCTCCTCCTCCTCCTTCTTAGGGTACTGTCACTCCTCGTGCTCCTCTTCCTCATCATGATCATCAGCAGCATCAGCATCAGCATCAGCATCATCACCGTCATCATCATCATCATCAGCAGCAGCAGCATCATCATCATCATAATCATAATCATCATCATCATCATCATCATCATCATCATCATCATCATCATCATCATCATCATCATCACCATTGTCCCATCTGAGATATGTATCCCTGCCTCTTTGCCGCCGCATCTCCGCAGTTTCTTAATCAAGCCAAGAGAACTGGCCAGCCCACTGCATGGGCCAGTTTCTCTTGGAGGCGTGCCTTGGATACGTGCGGGATTTCACAGTCCAGCTCCTCCCCGCCGAGATAGCCCGTGGGGCTGCCGTGGGGATCCTCCAGTGGTACGGCGGCCCAGTGGTGCCGAGCGACACGCTGGTGTCAACGGCCTGCGAGGGGTGGCGGACGGCGGCCGAGGGGTACGAGAAGAGGTTCGACGTGGCAGTAGAGAGCTGCCGCACCACCGGGTCACGGGGAGCCCGCCTCGGGTTGATCGTGGTGCCGCTCCTCTTCCTCGTTGGTTGCTGCAGCTGTTGCGCGGGTTTCGCCGTCGGCCGTGTGAACTATGGGGATTTTTGGCGTCAAGCCGCCGGCCTGGTGCCGTGGTGGACTCCGCCCTGGGTCCTTCGTGCTGCTGAAGTACGCGGGGGACACGACGTGGCACACGACGCTGCTGATCCGGGAGGTGGACTCGGCGACGAAGGGGTGGTTCATCCTAACCCCGGACGAAGACTTGTACGTCGAGCGCCTGGAGGCGTCCGAGGACGGAAACATCCGCGCGGTGCGAGTTTGCGCTGCCGGAGGGACGACCCCGATCGGAGTGCACCTTAGCAAGACGTACGGCTTCGACCCCCCGCCGGTCGAGGCGGACCTCGAGGGGCTGGTCTCCGAGACGGAGCCGTTGGTGGACAGCGAGCGCGGCCTGCTGGGGTTGCCGCCGCTGCCGGCCCCTCCGACGGGGGCACTTGTGGTTCCCACAGCTCGCACCGCCACGCTTCTGCTCGACTTGGGGGCCCCGCCAGGGCCCAGGCTTTCGACGCCGCCTGGCACCGTCTGGGTCTACGCGGAGTCCGCCTACGGCCGCGAGAAGGGCGGGCGGGCCGCCCTCAACGACACGGCCGTGGCCTCTGGCGACAGAGGGGCGCTGGAGCTGGAACCGGGCGCCTCGATCGCCATCGCGCGCGTCGAGATCGGCCGCGAGGAGGAGTTCCCGAAGGAGCACACGACGAAGGAGATGAGTCTGATTGACACCGAGACGGACGCCAGGGTCATGCGGGTCAAGTACGCTGGAGGTTCCGGCAAGCGGCACCGAGACTGGAAGGACGTCCTGGACGGCATCTCGGAGGCGCCGCTGATCGACTTGCCGATCGAGGGGCCGCGGACGAGCAGCTGGTGCGTGGCTTTCCTTGGTCGTGGTGCGCACGGCGGTACCCCCCTAGACCATCACAGGTGGTGGCGGCACGCTGCGAAGCTGAACGCCGGCGACTGGGGGGTCGCGGAGCACGAGTCAGTCATGAAAGCTCTGACCCATGCAGGGTCATATGACCAGCTGGACCTCGCCAACCTCGCCTGCATCGAACACCTATGCAGGCGTGCCCAACTCATCGAGCACTACTACCGCGAAAAGATCAGGGACGTGGACCGCGGCGCCATCGGCAAGAACGCGCTGCCCTACGACGAGCAGGAGATGTTCATGGGGGAGGGCCGCGGGGGGGGCGTAGTCATGTGACATGTGCGCCCCTGCCCCCATGGAGCACGTGTCCATAGAGTTAGAGAGGGAGGCCGCGATCGCGAAGCAGGCGCGCAAGGCTCGCGAGGAGCGCGAGCTGGCGCGCCCCCAGAAGCAATGACTGAGCCACGGTCGCCGCTGGGAGCCCGGCAGGCGGCGACTTGGCGCGGCGCTGGGCGCGCGGGGCCTGACCATCCCCGCGCAGCTGTACCGGTCATCAGCCTTGGCGGAAGGCGGAGACAGAGGGGCGTTTTCCCTTTCACATCCGCCTCAGCTCTGGATGCTCGGCTACCGCGTGCTGGAGCTGGACATCGATATCGCCAGGTTTGCCGCACATTGGGAGAGCTTGCTGGAGGTGGGGATCAAGCACCTTTCTTCTCGGATGGCGCCGCCCCAGGAGACGCCACCGTCACTGCCAGCGAGTTCGCGGCCAACAGGGTGATTGACATAGGTGAGCCGCCGAAGGGCCTCACTCCTTCTGCCGCCTTCAACGAGGTGGTGAAGTCCGCCGACTACCACGGTGAGCGTGTGGACGTTGCTGCTATCGATATTTGCTTCCTTTCTCTTCCTCCGGAAGGTCATCGGCCCGCCCCACTGGCTGAACTCCTGGGGGCTGGGGGCGCGCTGGAGATCGAGCGATGTTGTAAGGAGCTTGGCTGGCCAAGTGAAGTTGCGGCCGAGATAAAGGCTTCGCTCAACTTGAGGCGGCCCCACATGGACCGCGGGCTCGTGCAGCGGCCGCGCATCTACGCCCACCTCGTGGAGGCCCTGCTCAAGCGCGGGCTCATCGATTTTGGCACAGACGTGCGCTGCGAGTGTGGAGTTTCCAGAGCATGGAAGAAGTCGGGGAAGCAGAGGATGGCGATTGACGCCCGCCTCTCGAACGCCCACTTCGGCCACTCGAAGGAGACGCCTCTGCCCACCGGGGCCGCCTTCTCGGAGATCGACCTCGAGGGCGAGGCCGAGGCGTGGTTCGCCGCTCTGGATCTGAAGGACGCCTTCTACTACATTGAGCTGCCCATGCAGCTGCGCTGCTACTTCGGCCTGCCGAAGGTGTCTGCGAAGAACATGCACCTTCCGACGGACGTGCTCAGCCTGGCCGTGGACGGGTTCCTCCAGCCGAGGTTTGCCGCGATGCCGATGGGGTGGACGCACGCGCTCTACTGGGCGCAACTCGCCCACTGCCGCATCCTGACGCGGGCCTTCCCGGACTTCGAGGTGGAGGGCTTCTTGGCCGACAACAGGGCGCTGCCGTCGGCGGAGAAGGGGGTCATCGGCCTGTGCGTCGACAACTTCGCGGCGGTGGGCCACTCTGCCGAGGCCGCCAACCAGCTGGCGGCCCGGGCAGCTGGGGCCTTCCGCGCGGCAGGGCCGCGGCCTCACGAGGAGGTCGCCGGCTGCGTGGAGGCAAGCAGGCGGGCGTTCAGGCCACAAACCGCCGCCGCTGGCGCCTGCGGCTGGCGCTGGAGCACGCCCTGACGCGGAACAAGCTCTCGGGACATGAGCTCCGGCAGCTCGTAGGCTACTTCACGTTCTGCGCGCTGGTGCAGCGGCCGACCCTCTCTTGCATGAATGCCGCCTATTCCTTTTCTCAGAAGTTCCCAACTGAGTCCCACAGAGCGTGGCCGTCGGTACGCCGGGAGCTGCGATGGGCACGGGATCTTTTGGCACTGCAGGTTAGGCCTTGGCGCCGCGAATGGTCGCGCTGCGTCACCGGCGCCGACGCCTCCGAGCTAGGGCGAGGGGTGGTCGAAGCTCACCTTCCCGCCTCCGTCGCCAGGGAGCACGGGAGATGGAACGAGAGATGGAGGTTCAAGAACGGGGGCGAGAGGGTCAGCGCTCGTGAAGCAGCAGGTTTTGCTCGCCCAGATGCCCCGCCGCCGGAGCAAGAGAAATACGAAGCACCCCCTCCGTCGCAGGGCGCGGAGCCCTCGCCTTCGCCACCTCGCTCCTCGCCCTCACCTACGACCCCCACGGGCTCCACGCTGGACCCCCCGGAGATCCCTAAGTTCCCCGAGCTCTTCGCCGAGAACGACATGCAGGGACCCGAGGACCAGTCGAAGGCTCGTTTTCCTGGAGATAAACGCGCTCCTGGATCTCAGTTCCATCTCCTTTCTCACGATGATGGACATCTTCTGGGACTTCCCTGGGACATCGTTGATGCGGGGAGGTGGAGGAGGAAGGAGCACATCACCGTCTTGGAGGGGAGGGCCCTCGCGTGGGCCCTCAGGCACCGTCTGCGGAACACGAGTTCGTTCCATGCCCGTCTCCTCTTCATCACCGACTCGATGGCGGCCATTTTGGCTTTGTGCAAGGGGCGGAGCAGCCCCCCAGGCTTGTGCTCGGTCTGCCGACAGTGGGCCGCGCTGTGTCTGGCGAGCGGGGCAGCCCCCGCCTTCCGCTGGTGCCCGTCTGAGTGGAACCCAGCAGACGCACCGCCCCGGCTCGCCTACGCTGGCCGCCGCGACGATGGCGAGGACCGCCTTCCTGAAGGAGTCAAAGGCGCTGGACAGGAAGTGGTCGCGCGTTGGTGCTCTGCCTGGCCGGGCGACTGCCGGCCTCAGCCGCGGCTCCGACCAGGAGGACCTGCGCACGCGGCGGCCCGCCAGCAGCAGCGCGGGGGCCGCGCCAGTGCACGAGGACCAGTTGCCCCGGGCTACGAGCGCCCTGAAGGGCGCCAGGCGGGGCGGGGGGCGAAGGCATCCCATCGTGAGGATGGGCCGCACGGCCGCGCTGCGCCTGGCGGCCCACGGAGACGAGAGGGGCGCCCCGAGGACGGTTCTGGAGATGCACGCCGCGGCGCCCAACTCCAGGGCCCAGTACTCCAAGATGTGGGAGAGCCTCCAGGACTGGGCGGAGCACCACATGCTGCCGCTCAGCCCGCCCAGCGCTCTCGACGCGACGCTGGCCGAGTACCTGGAGCACCTTTACTTCGGAGGCCACGACGCGGGGATGGGGGCGAAGGCGATCTCTGCAGTTGGCTTCTTTGTGCCGGAGGTCTCGCGCCACGGGGCAGCCAGGCTGCCGCGCGCGCGCGGCTGGCGGCGCAGGGGCGGCTAAGGCTGTCGCCGCCCCGGGCCAGGCTGCCCATCCCAGCGGAGGCGGCGACCGCCATCGTGGTCGCCACGCGCGCCCGCGGGGAGCGGAGAGCCGCTGCAGGGACGCTGCCAGCGACCACCTGCTACCTGCGGCCTGGGGAGCTGGCCGCCGCGAAGCTTGCGGACCTGCTACCGCCGGGGGCTTTCGCTGGCGAGGGCCACGTTCACTGGGTGCTCCAGCTGAACAGGTTCGAGGAGGGGGGGCCGTCCAAGACGGGGCGCTTCGACGACTCGATCGCGCTCGACGATCCGAGGCACGCCGCGCTGCACAGGTTCCTCGGCCAGCTCAAGCGGACAGCACACCCGGACGAGCCACCCATCGGGATGGGGCAGCTCCAGCACGCAAAGCTGTTCGGCGAGGTGATGAACGAGCTGCGCCTGAACATCCTCGGGCCGCCAGCGCCGCACCAACTGCGGCACGCCGGCGCGTCAGACGACCGGGCGAGCGGCCAGAGGATGCTGGCGGGTATAAAGAAGAGAGGAAGGTGGCTCTCGGACGCGCCCGTGAGACGGCACGAAAAAGGAGGACGACTTCGAGAACAGCTGCTTCGCCTCCCCGCGGGCCTCCAGGCCCACTGCCGCGCCTGTCACATCATGCGCGGCGAGATCCTCCTCGGGCGATCCAGGCCCTTACCGGTGCCGCAGCTGTTCCGCTGAGCCCGCGGCCGCCCTCTGTCTTTCTCGAGATCTTTTCGGGGAGCGGGCACCTTGCGCGTGCTCTTGGGCGTCGCGGGTGGCTGCGTCTGGAGTGGGATCTGAAGCATGGCGAGAAATTCACACTTACCAAGCGTGCGAATGTCCAGTTGATCGCTGGGTGGATCACCGCAGGAGTTTTGTGCGGCCTGCATCTCGGGACTCCCTGCGGCAGCTGGAGTCGGGCTCGTGATCGCCCGAATGGTCCACCTGCCCTACGCTGCAACGATGATATCCTGTGGACCTGTCACATGGCCAGTGCGACCCCAAAAGACAGGGAGAAGATCCGAGTAGGCAACACACTCATGAGAGCATCAGCCACCATAATTCGCAGCTGCTTGCACATGCAGCTTACCGGTTCGCTGGAGAACCCTCGCACCTCGAAAGTGTGGATGGCGCCGCCGATAGCGCAGCTCCGTGGCCACCCCCAGGTGCGGGAAACCATTCTGGATTTTTGTGCCTATGGCACGCCATGGCGCAAACGCACGTGTTTTCGGCACTGGTATGTTGATCTCACATGCTGTGGCCGACTGTGTGCGTCCAAGCATTGTATTTCCGAGTTTTCAAAGCATAAGCATGTCGAGCTTATCGGAAAAGATAGTCGCGGAGTGTTCCTCACCTCCACGGCTGAACCGTATCCTCCCAAATTGTGTTCCGCTCTTGCTGTCTGCTTTTCAAACGCTGATGCGTGCAGAATAGTCTCGTGTCTTGACGAGGCGGCCTGCGGCCAGATCCCTGTTCGGTGAATATGGAACTGACATCCGTTCACTTCGCTCTCAGGGAGAGGGCGCCATAGCCCTTCGAGAAGCCTGTGCTGAATGCTGTGTCGCCTGGATGAAAAGGAAGAGTGCCGCTGCATGGTTGTCTGGCATGGTGAGGGAGGGATTGTCCCATCTGAGATATGTATCCCTGCCTCTTTGCCGCCGCATCTCCGCAGTTTCTTGGTCCCCATCCACGGGCCACCCTTTTGAAGTCTGCTCTGCCTGCCCACAGGTTGAGATGTTCAGCTGCTCCTTGAATGCCAACATTCAAACATCATCACTATTCTGCAGTTTTTCTCATACATTATCCTGAAGTGTACTTTTGATTTCGGTCTTCCGCCCAGCCCCATGTAGAGGAACTGACATCCGTTCACTTCGCTCTCAGGGAGAGGGCGCCGTAGCCCTTCGAGAGGCCTGTGCTGAATGCTGTGTCGCCTGGATGAATAGGAAGAGCGCCGCTGCATGGTTCTCTGGCATGGCGAGGGAAGGATCATCATCATCATCATCATCCTCATCACCTTCATCGTCATCATTATCGTTATCGTCGTCCTCCCGCTCGACCCCGCTCTCTTCCCAGGAGGCGCCCCCACCCCCAGCGGCCGCCGACTGGCGGCCGCGGCGGCCTGGCGCGGCGCAGTGCCTGGGGCTGCGGGAGCGCCTGCCGGGCCACCCAGGCTTGGACATCGTGGATGCGCGGGCGGACGGCTCTGCCTTCGGCACCGCGGGGATGATGTTGTTGATGAGAATGATGGTGACGATGGCGATGATGATGGTGGTGGTGATGATGATGATTCTGGTGATGATGATGCTGATGCTGATGGTGGTGCTGGTGCTGATGCTGATGCTGATGCTAATGTTGATGATGGTGATGGTGATGGTGATGGCGATGGTGGTGATGAAACTGATGATGATGGTGATGATGATGATGTTGGTGGTGGTTGTGGTGGTGGTAATAATGGTGATGTTGATGCTGATGCTGATTGTGATGATGGTGATGGTGGTGATGGTGATGGTGGTGATGACGTTGATGGTGGTGATGAAAATGATGATCATGGTGATGATGACGATGATGGTGATTATGATGATGATGATGGAGGTGGTGGTAATGGTGACGGTGATGATGATGGTAATGCTGGTGATGGTGATGGTGGTGGTGGTTGTGGTGATGCTGATGGTGATGGTGGTGGTGGTGATGATGCGATGATGATGGTGATGATGATGCTGATGATGATGATGTTCATGGTGATGGTGATGGTGGTGTTGGTGGTGGTGATGAAGACGATGATGATGATTCGCTGCTGTGGATGATGATGATGGTGGTGATGATGATGCCGATGTCGATGTGTATGTTCATGGTGATGGTGATGATCATGTTGGTGGTGATGGTGATGATGATGAGGATGATGGTGATGGTGATTGTGACGGTGATGGTGATGGGGATCGTGATGGCGCTTGTGATGGTGATGATGGTGGTGATGATGATGATGCTGATGATGATGATGATGGTGATGGTTATGGTAATGGTGGTGGTGTTGATGAAGACGATGATGATGACTTGTTGCTGTGGGTGATGATGATAGCGATGATAATCATGATGCTGATGCAGATTTCTATGTTGATGGTTGGTGTTGTTGGTGATGGTGATTATTATGATCAGGATGGTGATGATGATGGTGATGGTGATGGTGATTGTGACGGTGATGGTGGTGGTGATGATGGTGGTGATGGTAATGGTGATGGTGATGTTGACGGTGATGGTGATGGTGATGATGATGATGCCGATCATGATCATGGTGATGGTGATGATGATGGTGGTGATGATGGTGGTGATGAAGATGATGATGATGATGATGATGATGATGATGATGATGATGATAGTGGTGGTGGTGGCGGTGGTGGTGATCGTTATGGCGATGGTGATGGTGAGGATGATGGTGATGGTTATGATGATGGTGATGGTGATGGTGGTGGTGATGCTGATGCTGATGCTGATGGTGGTGGTGATGATGATGCGATGATGATGGTGATAATGATGGTGATGGTGATGATGATGGTGATCCTGGTGAAGGTGGTGGTGGTTGTGATGGTGATGGTGATGGTGATGAGGATGATGATGATAATGGTTCTGCGGATGAAAATGGTGATGGTGATGATGGTTATGGTGATGTAGATGTTGATGATGATGGTGATGGTGATGGTGATCGTGATGATGATAGTGTTGATGGTGGTGATGGTGATGGTGATGGTGGTGATGATGATAGTGATGGTGATGATGATGATGGTGGTGATGTTGATGGTGATTTTGATGATGATGATGATGATGATGATGGTGATGGTGGTGGTGAAGATGATGATGATGATGATGATGAGATGGTGATGGCGGTGACGGTGGTGATGGTGATGGTGATGGCCATGGTGATGGTGATGGTAATGATGGTGTTGATGATGATGCGATGGTGATGGTGATGGTGATGATGATGGTCATGGTGATAATGGTGGTGGTGATGGTGGTGTTGATCGTGATGGTGATGGTGGTGATGAAGATGATGGTGATGATGATGCTGGTGATGATGATGATGATGATGATGATGGAGATGGTGGTGATGCTGATGATGCTGATGCAGGTGTTGATGATGATGCTGATGGTGGTGATGATGATGGTGTGGTGATGATGATGCTGATGCTGATGCTGATGGTGACGGTGATGGTGATGATGATGATGATGATGATGTTGATGATGATGATGATGATGATGATGATGATGATGATGATGATGATGATGATGATGGAACATTCCGAGACTTCCAGGTGTTTCTGCCGTTCCGCGTGGGCTCGAGACGGCTTCGCGCGAGCGGAGACCCCTCACTCGCTCCCCCCCTCCCCCAGCCACGAGCAAAGTGTCCCAGGTCGACCCCATCGAGCACGTGGAAGGGAGCACCTGCTCCACGCCGACCCCGTTCACCCCTCGTTGGGAGTCGCGCGCCCCAATCTGCTCCATCAGCCCCGCCTCGGCGGAAGCCGCCTGGAGGGTAAGCCACAGGTGTCCCACGCAGACACGGCCAAAAGTCCAACGGATCAGATTTTCGGACGCCAGGTGGTCCTCTCTCCCTCTTCCCTCCTTCCGTCCTTCCCCCCTTTCCCATGAACAACCAAACGAACTAACGCTCCACGCCGAGTTCTTGCGTAAGGAGGTGCGGTCAGGAACTTGTGCTTGGCGTATAGCTCCGCCGTTTCTGGCAGCCCCCACGACCCATCCCCAAGCGTCAACGTCCCTGGCCGTTCCCGGCCTCACGCCCCGCGGAGAGCTGCGACACGCTACCCGCGTGCATGGCATGGCGTGCCGCCAGGGCCGCCACCGCGACACGCTAAACAAAAGTTCCCGACCGTAATTGGGCCGTCTTGCTCGAACGTGGAACCACGGGCGGCCCACGGTGGCGCCCTCGACGGGCTCCACTCCGCCCGGCGTGGCTCGCGGTCCCCCTCGTCCTCCGCCACGGCCTGCGGATTTGGGCAGACGCGGACGGTGAGGGGGGCGAGCGCCTCCTTCGATGCTGGCGGCCTCAGTGCTCGGGGGCGGCCAGGGCAATTAGGGGTGATAATTGCGTGAGGCGTCATTAGGGGTAATTAGGGGTACTTAGGGGTAATTAGGGATCAGGGTAATTAGGGGTACTTTGGGGTAACAAAAAACACCCACGCACACACTCACACAAAAAAAGAGAGGCGTCCAGAAAGGGCCTCGCTCTTCGAGGCTCCTCCGCGGCGGGCGGCGGCGGAAAGTCGGCGGGCCCCCCCCAAAGGGATGGGGTGCAGGGTTGTTCCAGAACCCGCCACGTGGGGCGGGGCACAGTCAAAAATCCGAATAAGGACGCGCGACTTTGCTCAGGGTACCCTTGCGTCCTTGCTCTTCCTTGCTCTTGCGTCCTTGAGGTTTGCGTCGTCCGCCGCTCCACAAATCCCAACTTCGGCTTCCAAGGGTCTTGCGTCCTTACCGCGCGTCCTTATTAGGGTTTTTGACTGTACCCCATGGCCGGGGCCAACGTGCTGCTGGGTTTCACGGCCCCTCGTCTTATCCCAACACAGGAGGAGCCCGACCACAAGAAACCTTCCACGAGAGACCCAGCCCTGAGACGCCAGGACGTCCATTATTTTTTGGTGAGGGAGCGTCGCGATTTCCATCGCAAAACCATCGAAACCCAAGAAACCCAGGGCACCCTGGAGGCGAGCAGGGTGTTTCTTAGCATGGTTCTCCACTACGTCCTTTGGCCCTCCCCAACCCCCTGGGCCCCCCCTCTTGGACGCCCCCTTTATGGACGCCCCCGATAAGGAAGGAAGATGAGCGTTCCCTTTCATGCTGGCGGCATCCGAGCAGGCGACATTACATTCCATGGGCTTTCGCTCCGTCGACTTTCTGCAGCGCGCTCCGTCACGCCCTCATCTTCGAAGTCGGGGTCCGAGTGGGGCTCGGCGGGGGCATTGTGAGGGTATTGGTTCGGGTGTTGCGGAGCGTCACAGTCTCAGCGCGTGCACTTCTCGAAGATCACTGTCTACCTACGGCGCAGCGGAGGGCTTACAGTCAACCCGCACAGCAGGGATGGGCAACCTTCCCAAGAGTACCCTTGCATCCTTGCCTCCTCGGCCGCGTTCGCTGGCCGCGCCCCGCTCGCAGAGTTCAAGGAAGGAAAAACGAACCGGACCCAACAATTGACGTTTACTAAACGGCCTTGGGCGTTTACTAGACAGCCGTGCCCCGTTCGATTCCTTCCTTGGCTGGTGCGTTCACTGAACGGCCTCGCTTGTCGGGGTGATTCTTATGGGGGGGATCTTCTGCCCCCTAAGAGTGTCGACATGGCCTTGCAGGGCCCGTGCATCCTTAGCGCCTCAGCGTGCCTCCTTATTGTACGGGCTGGCCGTGCACGCGGGTCCCTCGCAGAGACGCTCGGCCGCTTGGGGGGGGGGGCTTCGGCCAGGGGGGGGCCCACCGCGCAGCGGCCGGATGCAGCCTCCGCGCTCGTGCCCCCCCTTTCGCCTCCCGCCGCTCGAGTCTAGGGGAGCGAAGAATGGCATAAGCATAATGATACTGGAGAAAAACCCAATCAAAATCTTTTTAGGGCTATTCGGGCTATAGGGCTATGGGACTATAGGGCTATACCAGGGCTATAGGGCTACCGGGCACCCGGGCACTTGGGCACCTAGGCGCCCGGGCACTTGGGCCCCCTGGCGCCCGGGCGCCCGGGCACCCGGGCACCCGGGCGTCTGGACGTGCCGCCGAAATCGGCGCCACCCCCTCACCTAACCATATGAATCCGCTGGGACCTCTACAGAGGCAAGCTCTGACTGGAGAAAAACTCGGAGGTCCGCGCGGACCTCCGAGCTGTTATGTTTGTGTCAGTATTCCTTCCCCTAGGGTAGGGCAGCTACCACAGGACCGATGCACCCCAAACTCGCTGTCCCCGACGAGTCTGCGAAGACTCGGCGTAGGCCGCTCCGCAGGTGTACGGAACATGCTACGCCTGCTTCGCAGATGCGACGACAAAAAGACAGTTCCGCCACCGCTGGACCCGCCTCAGATCGGGTATAGCCAGAGAGAAGAAGAAGAAATATAAAAAAGTTCTGGGACGAAGCATTCCTAGAGTCGATCCCCTGCTCTCGACGTTGCACTGCTCACCCCTGCTGCCAGCAGCAGCTCCCCAGGCGGGGCCCTGGCGTGCCCGCACCTCGCGCGCGCGGTGGAGCTGCAGAAGCCGCTGCTGCTGCGCGGGGCGGCCGATGGCTTCGCGGCCTCGTCGGAGCTCTGGGGGCCCGAGGTTATCCTCCTGCTCCTGCTCTTCGTGCTCCCCCGCCCTCCCTCCACCCGCATGTCGCCGACTCCTCCCACCCCTCCTGCTCCTCACGTAGCCAGCTTGCGGGTGACCGTAGGCAACGGAGAGTTGGCAGAAGAAGCTGCAGTCAGACTGGCAGCGCTGCTCTGCATCCTCCCTGCAACCGCGAGTCGAGTCCGAACATCGACCTCGTAAGCGCGAGGGTCGCCTGGAAACGATGCCGTCGCTTCCCCTGCCCCTCCTCGCCCTCCCCCCTCCCCTTCAGCTCCCCTCTGGTTCTCCATTCCATGCCTCTCCCGTCCCCCTCCCTTCCTCGCCCCCCCTCCCCCGTTCTTCGCACCCTCTCCCCCCCGGGGTTCGGGGCCCTCTGGGACACCCCTCGGGCGGATACAGCAGAGTGCAGCGCAGCGGGAAAGGACAGGCGTGAGGGGCAGGATCGAAGACCCCTGCGGCGACGAATCACCGCCGCCCCCTGCCTTTGGAAATCGCCCATGTGGCCGAGCGATGTGGCAAGAGCTCTGCCAAGCTATCGTACCATGTGTTCCCCCAATCGTTGTGGAAACCCTTCGGGGAACACTTGGGGCAGGATGGCGGGGAGGAGGAGGAGGAGGAGGAGGAGGTGGTGGAGGAGGAGGAGGAGGAGGAGGAGAGGAGGAGAGGAAGGAGGAGGAGGAGGAGGAGGAAATGGAGGGGGCATCTTGGGAGCCTCTGGGCGCTCTCTTGGGGCCTCCTGGGAACCTTCTGGGAGCCTCTTGGAGGCATCTTGGAGGCCTTCTTGGGCCTCTTGGGGGCCTTTGGGAGCTTCTCGTGGGCCTCTTTGGCCGTCTCAGGACTTTCCTGGCCCGTCTGACGCCGTCGGAAGCTGTCTTGGTGGCCTCTCTGGGCTGACTGGGGGCGGCGCTCTTGGGGTGCTCCAGGGCCGTCTTGGAGGCCATCTTGCGCGTCTTGGAGGCCTCTTGGGCTGTCTGAGGGCACCCTTGGGGTCGTCTGGGGGGCCTCTTGGGCCGTTCTGGGGCCATCCTGGAGGCCTATTGGGCGATCTTTCAGGGCTCTTTGGCCGTCTCGGGCCGTGGGAGGGCCGAAAAGAAGCAATTGCCAAAATTCTTTAAACATTTTAGGAAAATCAATCATTTGAGCCTCTCCGGGCCTTCCTGGAGGGGGGGCCTCGTGGGCCGTCTTGGAGGCCTCTTGGGGGCCTATTGGGCCGTCTTGGGCCATCTTAGAGCCATCTTGCGCCGTCTTGGTGGGCTCCTGGGCTAACTGGGGCCCTCTCGGGGTGCTCCAGGGCCGTCTTGGAGGCCATCTTGGGCGTCTTGGAGGCCTCTTGGGCTGTCTTAGGGCCCTCCTGGGGCAATCTTGGGGGCCTTTTGGGCCGTCCTGGGCATCTTGGGCGCCCATTGGGCCGTCTTGGGGCGATCTTGGGGGGTTTTTTGGGCCGTCTCGGGCCGTCGGAAGGCCGAAAAGAAGCAAATGCCAAAATGTTTCGAAAACATAAAGAAAATTGATAATGTTGGCCTCTTCGGGCCTTCCTGGGGGTCCTCTTAGAGGCCTCTTGGGCCGTCTTGGAAGCCTCTTGGGAGCCTCTCGGGCCGTCGTGTGCCATCTTGAAGCTATCTTAGACCGTCTTGGGTGCATCTTGGGCCGTCGTGGAGGCATCTTGGGGCCATCTCGGCCGTCTTGGAGGGCATCTTGGCCGTCACGGAGGCATCTTGGAGGCCATATTGGGCCATCGTTACCGTCTTGGGGATTTGTTCCGGCGAATTCCACGCCTTGTGGTCCCTTCCGGGTGGCCGGCGGGGCGGGTCGAAGCCCCACAGGGGAGTTCTTTTGGAAAGGAACCAACACCAAAGCGTAAGAAGTCCAGCACGCCAGGCACCCCTGTGGTGAATCAACAGGGGGCGGCGGATATCGAATGGCCTTCGGCCCACGTTTTTTTGAGCACGCAAGGGCCTCTTCTTGAGAGGTGGGGGCTTGACCCTCTTATCATTGAACTTTTACGAGATGCCCACGCTGAGTCGTGGTTTTCGTACGGCGCCCTCGAGTCTATTGTCGTTACCCAAAAAGGAGGAAGCCAGGGTGTCAGTCTGGGGCGTGCGTGTTTAACACTGTGTACTCTGTAGGGCTGATACTGTTGCACATTGCCTTGAAGTCTGCTGGCGTAACTTTCAGAGTAAGTAAGTCCAGTTCTGTTATTTGGCTCCCCGGGCAGCCCAGCGGCGGCACGGAGGATCTGATTGATGTCACGTTTGTTGATGATGAGTGCATCATCTTGCTAGCCGCGTCCGCTCGGGAGCTGACCAAGGCCATTCGTGTTGTGCTAGAGCTGCTTGTGCTGACATTTGGCCTCCTCGACCTCCGCATCAATTTCGAACCTGGAAAAACGGAGGCGATGATAAAGTTCCGTGGAAAGCACACAGCCCAGTGCTGGAGGACCTTCATGAGCCCCGAAGGTAGGTATATTGACCTCCCCCACTCCGAATTCTTAGCCCCCGAATTCCGGAGGCTCAGTGTGGTGAGCTGCTATAAGCATCTTGGCGTCAAGGTCACAGCTGACAGAAACGATTTCCAGGATGCCCGGCACAAGGCTTCGAGTGCCCTGCATGCGTTTGTGCCGCTTGCGACTAAGGTTTTTGGTTGTCCTCGAGTCTCGGTGCATTTGAAGCTCGCGCTCGGCCTCGTTCTGGTGCTTAGCTGCTTATTATATAATGTATGCATACGCGTCCCGTCCCCAGTCTTCCTGAGGTGTTTGAATGGCGTGTACATGAGACTGCACCGCAGGATTCTCAATGCCCCGAGGTATGGCAAGGGCATCACCGATTTAGAGTTCAGGCGGAAATTTTCGATCCCGAGCCTTGATTGTATAGTTGTAAAGAAGAGGTTGAAGTATCTAAAGCGTTTACTTGCTCATGGGCCCCCTGTCCTGCTAGCACTGCTAGCGCAGAAAAGTGCGAAAGGACAGCGCATGCCTTGGACTGCGCAGATACTGCGTGACATGCGCCTGCTGAGAGAGCGCGTGCTGTATGATATGAACGACCCTGTCAAGGATTGGAAGTGTTGGTGCAGGGCGACTGCCTCTCCGAAGTGGGAGCCGGCGGTCGATGCATTGTTTTTCACGGATTCGGTGCTTGATTCTGTTGCGTCCTGCGAGCCCGTTGTCCAGTTGTATATGTGTTCGCAGTGTGAAGCGACGTTCTGCAGCGAGAAAGCCAAAGAGCAGCACGAACGCATCAAGCACCAGATGCGGAGCCCGATGCTTGCATATGCGTTCGGCGATGGAAGGTGCCGCGCATGCAATATTCAATTTTCGTGCAGGTGGATGCTTTTGCGACACTTGTGCGACAAGCGGAGGACTAAGTGCCGCGACGCACTGTTGGCATCGACGGTCGAGCCGTTGAACGCCGCAGCGGTGGTCGCACTTGACGAGGCAGACAAAGCCGAGTGCGCCAAAGCGAGGCGTGCAGGACACACTCAGATCCTCTCCAAGGCCCCGGCCGTTCGACACGGCAAGATGGTGGGGAGGTTTAGCAGCTAGGCGCAACAGTGTACAGTGGATGCGTATGTCTTTCCCCAGTCGTTCTAAACCAGCGCGAGGGCGCCGATTGTTACGACAGTTTTCGATAATTACAGCATTCCTTGAGACATCCTGCGGATATCCTCGGTGCCAAAAAAGGCCTTCGGCCCATCCCGCCAGCTTGTCTGGGTTGTGGTATAAAGCCTATTGGATGTTCGTTGGGATCTCGTGGAAGGCCTCTTGGAGGCAGTTTTGATGCCTCTTGTGGGACGGTTTGGGGCCTCTTTTCGGCCTCTTGTGGATATCTTAGGGGCCTCTTTTGTGCCTCCTGGGGGCCTCTTGGGCGCCTCTTGGGGCCTCTTGGGGGCCTCTTTGGGCGGAAGACTCGGATTTTCAGTTCGTGTTCCCTCTCTTGGGCCCCTTTTGGGTCTTGGGGCCCTCTTGGGCCGTCCTGGGCGCCTCTTTGGCCGTCTTGGGGCGCTCTTAGGCCGTCTTGGGGCCTCTTGGAGGCCTCTAGAGCCGTCTTGGGGTGGTCTTGGAGGCCTCTCGGGCCGTCTTGGAGCTTCGGAAAGCCGAACAGGCGAGAACGCAAAAATCCATCAAAAACTTCGGGACAAGTATGGACGCTTGCCTCTTGTGGCCCTCTTGGGAGGCCTCTTGGAGACCTCTTCTGGCGTCTTGGAGGCCTCTTGAGGCCATCTTGAGGCGTCTTGGAGCGATATTGAGGCGAGTTGGGGTTTTCTTCGACTATTTGGGGGGCATCTTGGAGCCATCTGGGCTCGTTGCCCTCTTGGGCGGGTCGGCCGACGCGAGCGCGTCTGGCAGACCTTGGGCCAGCCCAACAAGACCCCAGGCCAGCCCGGGAAACGATTGGTCCGGGCCCTTAAAGACTGACACGTCTGGCTGCAGCAGCAGCAGCACAGCCCTCTCAGTGCTGCGTGAGCCTTAGGGCACTCCACTTCGTGCTGAAGGCATAGTGGTGGATCTCGGCCACGCGCAGACGGGGGTAGGGGGAGGGGGGAAGGCTTCTTAGGGGCACCCCCGCTTCTTAGAACGCCCAGGCGCGATCTACAAATGTAAGGCCGGCGCCTGCTAAGAAGCAACCTCCTTCTGAGAAGCCTTCCCCCTCCCCTTACCCCCTTGTTCGCGCCGCCAGATATCAGAGATGTCGCGAGCACACCTGACTTGTTCTTTTCCTCCTTGGCAGATCGGCCGAGGACTACCGTGTGGTCGAGGCAGTGTCGTTGGTGGCTGCGCGTGCTCCGCCGACATCAGACACCGCCCCACCCACCTCAACATATACAAGCAAAAGAAAAAGCGGCACGCAAGTAAACTGTAGTAGGTCCGCGCACATTTCTTGGATCGGCGCTGGACCCTCCTCCCTGGCGCGCATCCGCGCGGACCTCCAAAAGTTGATGGTTCTGTTGGTTTTTCTTCCTCGACAGCAAGCGCATCA